CCCTAGTGGCATTGAGGAGAAGGGGGTGCAGTCTGCAGAGAGAGTGAGCAGGAGGTGACAGGAGCCTTTCAGAAGCCACTGTAGCAGCATTATGTGCCCGTGTAAGTGATGGAGAGGAGGTGGCTCTTGTTCCAACGTGCCCTAAGCCTTGATTTTACAGTGTGATGTTGTGCTGCTCAGCAGATCCCAGAGGGTCTGTACAGTGTCCAAATCTGCCCATCCATCTCCTGGCAGCCTCTCTGAATTGCTGCTGCTCTGTAGGTGGCCAGTCCTGGGTCCCTGCTGTTCAGAGACCCTGGGGTGCCCTCAGTGCAGTGCCTGCTGGCCTTCCCCCTGTGCTGGCCCTGCCCTGGTGCCAGCCCTGGCACTGCTTCCCTGCAGGGCTCTGCAGGGCTCCTTTGGGCCTGTGTGTGCCAAGAGGCACATCTGGGGAGGGCTGAGCTCTGTGGCTCCAGCAGTGGCCCCACTGCCATCCCTGGTGTCACCAGCTCCTCATATCCCAGACCAAACTGAAGGTGGGGAGTCACTGTGGCACTGTCCATAACATGAGTGGCAAATTCAGTCTAGCAGGAAAGCAGGTTACTTCACAGCTGGAATGCAGGCCAGGCTTCTCCTAATCCCTCCCTTGGCCACAGAAAGGTGGCTTTAATCTATTTATTCTGCATGTGGTTGTTTTTGCAGCACTGATCTCTCTGCAAATGCCATGGCACTGTTAGTCTGTTGCCATCCATTTGCCATTAGCAGATGTGTGGGGACATGACGCTGTTTTCAGTCACTCAGGTCTGATCCCAGCAGTGCCGTGGGATCTTGGGAATGCTCTGCCTTTGGGCAGAAGGAACCGACGTGTAACGTGTCGGTTTTAACCTGCAGGTTTAGGGTTTTTTTAGACAGCTGATTTTCTTTTTGCTGATGTTTTCGACAAAACTAATTTGATAGGGTTATTAGAGGAGGAAAATTAAAAGGACAGAATCATCCAGGAAGCTCATTAAAATGGAAACCTGGAAGAACTGGGTAATTGGGCATTGATTCTGTCCTCTCCCCTCACTTTATGAGCAGTGTTGTATTAAAAGTAATGTGTCTGCAGGATGATGCTTCAGCATCTGTTACTGCTGAAACAAAATTATTTGCTTGTTTTTTCCTTTCTACATTCTTCCAACATCTGCATGTGTAGATCTTTCCTGTATATTAATCACATCTAACACTGCTCCTTTCCAGGGAAAAGGCATCAAAGGGAATGGGATCCTCCCTTTGGTTGGGAGGGGAATGTTTTGGTGGGGGATCCTGCATTGCCATTCCCTTGTATCAGATATTGGGTGACTGGCTGTGAAATGAGTCGTGTGAGCCAGTGAGGGCTCGGGGGCTCATGGAGCCCATGCACAGGTTTGGGGCACTCAGGTGTGTTTGTAGGGAACAAAGATGTTCACAGGCTGTGGCCTGTCTGTCTTCTGAAATATTTGTGTCACAGTATGTGATTAAAACTGTGTAAACAGATAATTTTCCTTATTTTCTGTTCTCTGAATATTTACAGGCAAATCACAATTTTAAAAAGTATTTCACATTGAAGATGCTCAATAATTGTGCTGGGATTTAATTTTTTTTTTACTTTAAAGGTTGATCCACTGAATTGATTCTAAATGTAGTTTGCTGAATGTTTACTATTTCAATCACTCTGGCTGTGATTATTGTGATAGGAAGCAATCTACTTGCTTTGGTTTAAGTTTTGGGTGTTTGCTAAAATAGATATGGTTGTATGTACCAATGTTGAGATTCAGTTTTTTAGGAGCGTGACTTGTTTCCTTCTCTTCAGTATTTGTGCTATAAAAAACCAGTTTGCATAAAGGTTCATAGCAAGAAAATAGAAAAAGCTGGGCAATAGATTTGAAATAATATTTGGAAATATTTTCTCATCTCCTATTATTATGATGTTAATTGTGTCTTCCAGTCTTAAAAGTAAGGATGGGAAATTTAAGCATGGGAAAGCACATGCTTTAAATCCATTCCTATCCAGCAAAATGCTTGAGCTTAATTTCAAGCACGTGAATGAGTTGTATTAGTTAAATAACTCATAACTACTTGCTTAAATCCAGACAGTGTTAGACTGACTAAATATTAGAATTGCAAGGTAAATACTGCAGTAAATGAGATAAATCTGGGTGTTGGCTTTGCCGTGAACTCGTCAGTGGTTTTGACTTTTACAATCATTTTTATGGCATACAGTTGAAATCAGAAAAGAATGGAAATTTCAACTAATTTTTTAATATGCTGAAATGTATTAAGTTACACAAAAGAATCCATATTATAGTAATCCTGCACATATACAGGCAAAGAGTACCCAGCGTGCATGGCAGATGGTTTCAAAGGAAATCCTCGAGAGCTAGGATTAAAAAGCAATTTTCAGCAAGTTTAAAATGGGTCTCTATATTTGGGTCACAGATATTAACTCTTTCATTGCAAACAAATGAGGGAGAAGTCTGGCCAGATTATTATGGAAATGTTTCTCCCAGTAAAAGCTGACCAGGTCGTGCTGGGGAAGAAAGGTGTCAGAAGGTCAGTCAATTCTACCCCTGGTCCTGTTCTCACACCAGTGGGAAGCAGAGCTGTGGCAGTACAGAGACAAGGGGATGTTGCAATTCATGGAGTTCATCATTCCACAAACAAACACTGGCAACCCTCTGAAAAATAATGTGTGTGTGGCTTTGATCTCTGTCTGCCCACTGAAGCAGATTTCCAGAAAGACAAACTGATCAGTAAGTTTTGGCATGTTAGGAACAGCAGATTTATGCCTGTTTACATTTATTAAAATTTTACATATAGCATTTTTGTATTCCTTTTGGATATGGCAAGCTTGTATGATGAAGGATAAATATGAAGTTGCACAGCAGTACTGTTGTTCCATCACAGACAGGAAGGGCTCCAAATTTGGCTTGGCAGTCCATCTGCACATGGTAAGCAGGCCTGGGTTTTCTCAGACGTGTTTTAGGGACACACTAGAAATGTATTGTTTGTTTTTGAAGGTTATATTCTTAAATAAACCATACCATGCAGACATTGTTCCAGGCTGCAGCTGTTGGGTGGTGGTGTACAAACATCCAGAAATCCTGTCACCAGGCTGATGCACAGAAGGGATTGAGTGCAGGTCAGCTTTGTACTGTGGGATCAAGAGAAGGCACTGGGCTTTGAGTGGATAAAAATAGCACAGCAAGTTGGGGATTATTGGCTTTAACTAACTTATACCAGCTAGTAACTGTGTTAGGAGTGTAATTCACATTTACATCAGTGCTCTTTATACACTTTGACAGTGCAAAGGAACCTCAAGTTTGACATGAACTAATTTTTCTTTAAAAGACTCTTCTGCTTCCAAAGTGGGAATTCAAGTTAGACCTTAAGCAGTGTTTATCACTGAACAATGAAATAGAGCAACCATTTTATGGAATTGCCAAAGCTCAGCTGGGCATATTTGGAGTAGACTTGGAAAGCTTTCTGAGCCAAGGTGCCTGATGCTCTGCTAAGTGAATTATGAAAGTAACTGCTGGTTTGAATATCAGCCTAAGGAGAAGTTAATTGCATTGCTCTTTGGGTATTACATGGGCTAAAAGTTACCAGTGAAGGACAGGGCACTTCTGAAAGGGCACCTGAGTGTCCTGGTGGGAGAGTTAAATGTGGATCTGCTAAATGTTAATTAACAAAGCTAAATAAGAGGTGTTTTCTGCAGGACTGAGCCAAGGCAGTTACTAGGCATCCTATCTGCTCTCAGAAAAGAAAATTTAGGCAATGGATGAAAATAAAGCAGCTTTTGGTGTTCAGTTCTTGTACCAGAGCTAGAAGGATCAGTAGACTCAGGATGAGCTCTGAAAGCTGCATCTGTTTTTCTGGGTCTTTGTTTCACGTCACCTGTTACAGGAAATCTGCCTGTGTGCATCTTGATATGGCCTTCAGAGGGCAAATAAAAGTGCTGGAATTAGATACCAAAACTTGAGCATCCCAGGCTGTTGTCAGCCATCCCGTGTCACCAAGTTATGATGCTATTAATACCTGGAGAAAAAAATGTCATCCATGACAACAGTTACCTTTGATCCAGTGTTTGTAAATGGAGTTTGGAGTTTTGCCTTGGATTTTTCAAAGACTTGCATCTTTCAAAGGGAGGCAGAACAGATCAGTTTGGAGTCTCTGTCATTGTTATCTTCCAGGATTTTGTTTCAAGTAGTTTTTCAAAGTCTGTGCAACACGATTTGAGATAAAAACCTGATCCAGATGTCTTTGGATAGTCAGAGCAATCCCTTCTCTTGACTACAACAAACTTAGGAGAGGTTCTAAATAAACAAATCAGTGCTGGCTTTAGAAAATGGTTGATTTCCTTTGCTCACTGTGCAGTCAGTGCTCCATAAAGAGGAGCTCCTTGTGTGCACTCAGTTGTCTCCTGGGTCTGAAGCAGTTTTTTTTCTGGGCCAAACCCAATGGAAAGGGGGTAAACTTGTGCAGATCATGAAGGTCAGACAGGTGGGAAACAGAAGCCTGAATTCTCCTGTTATGGGCCAAATGAGAGTCCTCCCAAAACCACACCAGGGTGCAACTCTGGAACAATGTGGGCATGCAGTTAAAATGTGTTCAAAAGAATACTGTAAAGTAATTACTATGTCATTGTACAGAGTTCTGAGTGCTAGAAACCATAGCTACCTTTCTAAATGAGGGAAATGCTTTACCTCTAGCAACTCTTATCAGGAAATATTGAAGGTTCAGTTGCAGTGCTTTGGAATTTCTCTCTACTTTAATCTTTTTGTAGTGTATCGTTATTAAAGTTTCTCTGAGTAGATGACTGAAAGCAATAACCTGTTCGTGTCGAGGCAGTGCACTGATGGCTGAGGTAACTGGTCAGACAAAAGTGAAAGCTTCCATGGGGATAAAATGGGCTTTGGTTGGGCTTCTTGGCACTTCTTTATTGATGGCACTTTAAGTAGTGATTTGAGGAGAAGCAGATAATGAAAATTGATTCTTCTCTGCAGGTCTCTCGCTTACTTTTGGACTTGGACAGACCTAATCTGTGAAGATAATTAAAGTTCCTTTGCTCTGGATGCTGTAAGTGATTTTTTTGTTTGCTTTATGGAAATCATTAGGAGCCTGTTTGCCTCACACAGGGAAAAAGGTGAAAATGCCAAATCATAAAGAAATGGTAAAAATGAAGTTGGTGGAAAATTGATATGTATGACCATACATGTTTGCAGGAAATATTTCTGAACAGCCTTTTGTATTCAGGAACACCCTGTCTGCAGTCCAGCTATGCTGATGAATCCAGTAGCAGAACCCAAATTGCAAATTGCCAGTAAAGATACCAGGGGAAACAATATTTTCATACTTCTGTCAGGACTACAAGTAGATCAGGAATCTTGGCATGGTGGAGGGAATCTCTGTTGCTGTGTGTGTTGTGTCTGGTTGAGAATAAACACCTCAGGTATCAGCATTGACCAAAGTATCATGTGGAGAGGTCAGAGGGGGGAAAAAGCTTGTGAATGAAGAATGTTGCCATTGGCAATGACACAGGGCAGTGGCCCTGGCTCTTAGTTAGCATGGCATATCAGTTCCACGATAGCATAAAAGGAGGTTTGAAATCCCTTTTACTGTTCAAGAGACTCTCCCAGGAAAGACCTGCCAGCCTGAAAGTCTGTCCCTGCAGCACTGTGGCTTCTGGAGCATCTGGGATAATGCTCCCCTGGAACAGGGAATCAGCTGTAGCTGGCACTGCAGGGAGACAGGGTGGGTAGGAGGCTGGAAACAGAATGCCATGGCTTTGATCCTGTGGCAGCATCCCTTGAGGGTCCTTAGGACACAGCTCTCTGCTGGTTAATAGCTACAGGTGTTAACGACACGTTTCTTATTTCTACAAGACTGCCTTTAAAACAGCTGATATTCTTCCATCAATGAAAACATGCAAAGAGCTCTTCATATCCCCATTTTCCCCCCAAAGCTGTGGGAACAATTTTCTGGCTTGTAGAACAAAGAAGTTGAACAGATGACACAGCCAACATCTGCACCTGGCTCACTGAGGAAGCGAATGTTTGGCACAGAGGCTGAACTCCCTTCTGCCAAGGAGCCATGTCAATGCAGTTGTTCAGGGGTAAGGATGGGATAATGTCTTTTCCTTTTTGACTCACTAAAGCTATTTTATTGATCTGTCAAAGTCAAAAATTTGTTGGGAAGGAAAATGTCTTTTCTTTTAAATATCAGAGCTTAATTAATGGTTAATCAAACCTTTTCTAACCAACCCCGTTAAGATTATGATGGTGTATCACTTCAGTTCCAATGGCAGACACATCCCATATGGGTTGCCATTTTGATGGCTTTGAATGGTAATCTGACCCATAAAAGCTGAAGCATAATATGCAAACTGATTTTTTTCTGGCCTGCCCTGTTCTTGGTGCCATCTGTGTTCGGATGGAAACGAGCCTGCTCGAAACGTGGGCTGCCGGTTTGAGCTGATCACAGATGGGTGTTGAAGAATAGCCTCGTGTGCACAAGGAAAGAGGGATGATGCTCCTGAGAGCAGGAAGTTTCACTTGAAACCATATCGTGTCTGCTAAATCCTGTGGCCTATGGAACATCCACCAGACCTTTAACTGAATTCTAAACTTGCATTCTAAAAGTCAAGAAAAACCCTTCAGCTTCCAAACATTGCTCTTCCTCCACACTGCCTTCTGCTGCTGCCATGCCTAATGGAACAGAGTGCAGGAAGCTGGCAGCACCAGATCCTGTCAGGTGTTTGCAGTGCATCCACTCAGCAAAACCAGGCACAGGCAATTATTTCATGAGTTTTGTAGCTACGTGGAGTTTTAATCTGTCGTGTGAATCCTGTTGAAGTCACAGCATTCAGGCTGCCATTTCTGGATTCCTGTCTGACAATTAACCAAAATCTGTGTTGTAGGTGGAGGTGAGTACCCATCCTCTGCTGCTGCATCTCACATCAAAAATTCAGGTGCTTAAGCACCTCATTCTCACTGTGGCACCTCGTGCTTAAGCACCTAGTTCTCAATGAGAACTTAGTTCTCATTTTGAGAGAGCCTGTGCTCTGAAGTTGGAGGCAGACTGACCTTGTCTTACGTGAAACCACAAGAGTCCTGGTACTATTTATAATCCCAAGAAATGCATTAAATAATTTTCCCTGGTTAGGAATATGGTCTACAGAACTGTGATTTATTTTTTTACTCTCCTTAAATCGATTACATTGTTTGAGCGACCGTTTGCTTCGGCAGAAGAGAAGCCCATGGAAGGCAACACTCATCGATGACTTTCATGGTCATGACACACTCGAACATCCCTCTCAAGACGTCTTTAAGCCTTTTATTTCTAGGCTAAATAAACACCAATTTCAGCAATGTCTCATCTACTCCCTTTAATTACTGCTGCTGAGAGAAAGTTTCTGCCAATGCAAATGTGCTATTTTGTCATGTCACATCAAATTGCATCAGCCTTATATTTAGGAACAAAAAGAGGGGGAGGCTGAGACAGGATGTGGCTACAAATGGAACCAAAGGGTTTTCTTAAATATAGGCTGAAAATAGACAATCGAGGCAGTGATGCTTTTTCAAGCAAAAATCCATGAAAGGGAAAATCAAGGCTGTGATGGCAGAATGGCAAAGGAGGGCCGGGCTGTGGGCAGAGGGAGTTCTGGGGGAGGAGGGGGTGGTGGAAGGGAGAGGCTGATGAACTTCTCATTTACACAGACAGCCTTGCCCTGTCAGATCCTTGTGCAGTGGGTTTGGGATGTGTGAGCCCACACCTTGTTCCCCTGTGCAGGCTGAAGTACCTGGGGCTGTTCTTCCCTCCACCTTGTCACGGGCCTGCCCGTTCCCTCAGCTTGGCTCCCCTTCCAGCAGTAACTCAGCTCACTAAACCAAGGAGATTGTGGTAGGTAGGCATAGAGAAAATCTCAGTAGCTGTCCAAACAAATGTAGGAGACTTCAAACAATCCCTCACACTACTTCAAAATGTAGTGTCTCTTCAGAAATAATATTTTTAAAAAATTGTTCTTCAGAAAGTGTTAGCACCTTCCCCATGGAAAACACTTTTTGCCCTCTTGGAACTGGGCACAAAATGATTTGTTGAAATCAAATGCATAAATTATGCATGTAATGGAGCTTGCTTGTAACTGATGAGTCTGATCAGAGCCTGGTGGCAATTAAACTGAGTTCTGAAAGATCTCTGTGTTTGAGAACCAGCAGAACTTGGTGTGGATGTGATCCGGGGGCGTGTGAGCAGCACCTACTTAGCAAATTGGAAACATACTCTTCCTTTCTTACAGCTAAGCACTTGGAATCTCTCCTCAGAAGCAATTGGTGATGTTAGAGGTAATATTTTTGTTCTTGTCATCAAGGATAATAAAAATGCAGTAGAGGCTTAGAAGCTGGTGTATTTAGAGCACTGACAGACCTAAGTCAAGCAGCATTTCAGACGGAAGCCAGAGAGCAGGGGCACCTGGGTCTCCATGGTTAGGTGTCACTGGTCCTTCAGGACTGTGAAACACTGAATATGGTGATGCTGTCAGTTGTTGAATTCTTTACAACAGGCACCCAACAGCCGTGGTGCTGAATCCATGCACTCAGTGCAGCTGGATGCAAACAAGGACAGGTCCCCCAGGCTTTCTGGCCCCACCTGCAGTGTGTGGGGTCTGTGCTGGGGCTGCAGGGGTTCAGGTGGCACAGGGAGCACAGAGAGCCTGGGCTCTGCTCTGCTGCAGGTTTGGGGCTCTGCCTGCCCTGGGTTTGGGTGGGTAAGTGCATCCCCCTGACCTGCCCCTCAGGGGCTGTGTGACAGGGTGTGCTCCCTCCAGGGTGGAGAGAGGAGGGCACAGTCCTGTAGGTTCTTCAAGCATTAATAGATATTAATAGAATTCCTTCTATTTCATTGTTGGTTAACTTCCCAAGACTTAGGAGAACTACATCTGATTTATGCCTCCAATTACTTTTTTCTTTTCGTATATAAGCATTAAAAAAGCCTCGGTAAAATGTGTGTATTTTTGTAGCAGGAAAGCATTTCTGTCATACTTTTTCAAAGCAAATCACAGAAATATTAAATGGGGAAGGAGAAAGATAGTTGTTTGGTTTTTATAGTTGGGGTTTGTTTGTTTTGAGCTAAATAAGTCTGAAAATCCTAGATAAAAACTGCAGATCAAATGAAAAGACTCTGTAAGCATCCTCCAGATTGTTTCTCAAAAAACCACTCAACTGACAACAGTACAACAGGAAAATGTTCTTAATTAATGTCTTCAGTTAAAAGAAATGCATTGTGGATCTCTTAGATATGTTATTAAATCTGCATTGTTTAGATAATAGGATGGGGACAGACACTGGTGCTGAGTGCTGTGTCAAATTCGTCAGGGCCTGCTCTAATTCTAGTGCACTTGCTGGATTTCACAGCTATTTGTCTGGGTACTGGGGTAATTTGGAGGGTTGAGTGAAGCCAGATGACTGTAATGAACTCACTTTGTGCCTTTAAATCATTCTGGGAAAAAAAAAAAAGATGCTATTTATGGGGTATTTTGTATTGTTAAGACTTCTGTTCCTCCTGTCTCTCAAACTTTCTCTGGGCTACTGCCTTTGCACCATCACCAGTAATTACATCAAATTAATTCAGCATAATTGAGTTAATTATTAGCACTGGGGGTTATCAACATGACTTCAATTGAACCAAAGCTTTTATCCCACTTTTCCTGAGGTTTCACCAAATGTAAACAAATCTGAATCATGGGTGAAACTTAAGGCAGCTCCCTTTCCATCCAGTGTTTTTGCCTGTCCTGCCTCACTCCTTCTCTCAGATGGGTGTTGATAAACGAGCTGCAAAGGGAAAAGAATACTCTGGAATTCTGTGTCAATGTCCAATGCTTTAGAAAAAAGGAAATATTTTAATCATCCCAGAGCCATTCGGTCAGAGCCAGAAATGTAATCATGAATAAAAATTCATATATGGAGAGGATGTTGAACCTCGTTTAGCTGACATACATCAGAAAGAATTAAGACATAGGTTCCAAGGATTCAGAGGGTGGTTTTCTGAACAGGGGTGCAATTGTGAATCACTGTAAGACACAACAGCACAATTCCTGGTGTGAGGGGGTAGTTTGAGAACCCGAAGGTTCCTATTCCCAGCTCTGCTGCTGTGTGACTTTGCACAAGCTGCGTAATTTTCTGGAGCACAGTTTCTTTTCTCAGATATTTTTTCTCTTGGAAACCAAAAGCCCTGGGTTGTCTCTTTCTGCTTGTGCTGCACTTTTTGATCTCTTACAGCAAGAGTTCTGAGCTGGACACTGGGATCAAGAGGGAATATGGTTTGAACTTAACTCTATAGACAATAAAAGAAACTTTTCCCCCCTTAACTTCATCTCAGCTGGAGGTATAAATTAGTTTAGGTCCTCAGTAGAGTTGGTGTGTTGTGTCTAATGCATTAAAAGCAAGCCCTGTACCACCAAAAACAAAGGTTCTGCTGAGTTCTGGAGCTGTGTGTATATTTGCAATAGGTTGTTGTGGTTGCCAGCCAGACTTTTCCTCTGTTTTTCTTATGAAAAAGATGTCTTCTTTCTCTTTAAGCTAGACTAGGCCATGGAGAGTGGCAGTGAAGTTTTTGGGCAAACTTGAGCTATGGCTTTAAGAGCTCAGACCTGTCCCTGAGACACGGCAGGCTCTGCCCCATGAGCTGTTGGTATGGAAACAATCCCTGCTTAGGGAGCTGGGCCAGTTACAATCCCCCTAAGAGGCTAAAGGCTCCCAGACTTACATGTCCTGTAATACTGCTGCTTATAAACTTGCTCTCAGGAACAACATGGATCTTGCTCAAGACGTGGTGGGTCAGATTCATCCCTGGTTTAATGTTGTAAACCACAGGCAGGTTTATGCCAGGGAGGGGTTGGCTCAGATTACTGTTATGATTGACACTGAAGGATTGGGAGATGGTGAATTTTAGCAGGTGTGGATCTGGAATAATGAGACAGCAAGTTGTTCCTGATGCTGCTGTGAAGGATAACAGGAATTGGAAGGGACAATTCCAGGACAGATATCCTGTAGATACCAGAGCATGGCACGAGCCCCATCGTCACTAGTGCAGGGATTATGTGCACAGTTAGGGCTGGAAGGGACGTGCTGGGGGAGCAGTAAAAGGACAGGTCCCACTGGACTGGGTTTATTCCCTTGTAGGCTGGGTGTGATGTTTGCACTAAAGGAAGGCTCAAAGGTGTATGTTAGGCATTTTTGGTTCAAAAAACCAATATTTTTTATTAAACTTTAGTCAATAGTGTGGGTCACAGTGACTTCTTTTGCTGTTTTAAATTCTGACTCTCCACCTTCACAAGACTTTTGTACTTTCCTAAGCAGAGCCCTTTTCTGTACTGCTTTCTGACAGCTACTTGTTTTACCCTCTCTTCTTTTTTTTAAAAAAAAGATAAAGTTGGATCACGTGAGCAAAATGAGCCTGTCTTAAAGCATAAAGGTAACATAAACTTTAACCAGTTTCAGTCCTGAGCCAAGTGAGGAACCACGACAAAACCTTCTGTGAGACTCACTACCCTTCCCATGCTTGTCTGTCTCACAGAGTCAGTGTGTTCATGAGTCAGACAGAATGTTTGTGCCCTTCAGAGGCACTTCCATGCCTTATGCTGCCAACTGAGTATCTGTCCTTCAACAAAAGTTGTGGTAGCTTGTTTTGTGCCCAGCTGGAAGTTTTAGAAGGTGATATAAGCCCAGCCAGAAAGTTGTTGCAAACAGTGACATAAAGTAGGAGAGAGAACAATGATTGCTAAAGTGGAACTAAGCACTGGAACATTTCAAAATACAGTATTTACAAGAAAGGAATGAAGGCAGTTTTGGTTTAAAGTTGCACTAAGTTATAACTCAGTTCCTATTCAGGCATAATCCCAAAGGTAAATACTTAAAATTAGACCACTGAGAACAAAATTCCTGTTGACAGCAGTTGAACTGAGCAATTCACAGCTGAGAAGATAAAGTTCTTTTGAAACTATGCCTTTCAGAATTTTCTTTAATCCAGAAGTCATTGTCAGGAGAAAAAAGTAGAGAAGTTTGGATTGGACCTAAAGGAGGGAGATTTCTGTCCTCGCACTAGTGAGCATGCTCCAAAGAATATTACTCTAATTAGTCTGAACATGCCTATTAATTACCCAGAACAGGGTAATCTGGCCTCAGTGTGGGCAGTGTGTTCCCTCACTGGTGTTGGGTTGCAGGAGCCTCAGTGTTTTACGTGCAGTTTGATGTATTGCATGTCTGTGCTGTGTGATACCAAACCGGGGTGTAAGGGAAGACATCTGCTTTGGTTAATTTATCCGAGTGGTCATTATGGCCAGCTCCAGCAATCTTTGTCATCCTCAAGTTTTACCAATTACAGCTTCATATTTGCAGGAGACAACTGGTGAGTGTTGAATAGCATTAGGCCTGATCCTGGTGCTGTAGAACTCCATGAAGGGTGATTCCTCGTTAACAGACAGATCTTTGGGATCTGTCATTAGCCAGTTCTTAATCCCCTGTGTGCTCTATGAATGTCGTGGAAAGCAAATATACTGCAGGGCTGTGCCCCCAGATTGTGCTGCCCTGGCACTGTCACCTGCCTCATGCATCCAGCAAAGCATAAAGGGGAGAAGAACAGAAATAGAAGTGAGCAGAACAGGCCTGGCTATCATCACTCAGGCAATGGGACTTTGCAGATCATATTTAGAAAGGACAAAATCCACAACAATGACCGGCCACAGCTCGTCAGAAGCGATCACATCAAACCAGCAGATCTTAATAAAAGCCCAGCGTGCCAGAGAGATGTGTTTCTGGGGAAGTGACTGCAGCATTGTACGTGCTCACCCACACAGGAGGGGCTGCAGCTGCAGGCAGGCCTTGCCCAGGGCTGTGCAGAGTGGCTGT